ACTGAAGCACTTAAATTTAAACTCCAGTGATTCCACTAGACCTAATGACACCTTGTGCTGAAGAGAAGAGGCTTTAAAGGCAACGCTGAAGTGTTCAAGCCAGGTCCCTAGTGGGCCTATTAGCTATCAGCCCTGGGTGAGCTCTCAGGCTCACCCAAGGCAAGGATTAATCATCCTTTAGGGAATACTGACTGTTTTCTAGGTGGAGAACCAACTGCATTTCAAATAATCCTTTCAAAATTAGTTAAGGACATACCTAGGGACGGCAGACATAAACAAATCCTGTTCTTCAGGTGGTGCCACCCAAAACACACAGCACATTTTCCTTACCAGAACTCGGTGTTTCCCCCCACCGTGCATTAATCATCCACAAAAAGGTCCCTGTCTCTCTCAAAGCAGCAGGCCAAAATATTATCCTAAACAGTGAGTATTTTCCTACAGTACTTCCTGACTGCACTCAGAAGAGTATGTTTTTGCTTCAGCTTAACACATTTTAAACACGTGCAATGTCACTCCACAAAGAAGCTATTACAGGAAGCGCCAGCACCTTCAAAGTCCTTGGCTTCTGAATTCTCACTTGAGAAATTCAAGGGTGCAATTTGCACCCTGTGCACTTCAGCTGTTTAGGGGGAAGAAAAAAAAAGGCAGTGTAAAGGCTACTACCCCCATCTGAACCCCTGAATTCTGTGGGTCCCAATTTAATGACTAAAATCATTAGACCCTCCCATCTAGTGAGATCTCCATGTTTCTCAATATAAAACTGCTGCCATCATCTCTTGCAAGTACTGGCATGTACACGCAGCTGGGATTCCAGGAAGTTGGAATTCCACTGCTGGCAAACACGGGAAGCCGCCTGGCACAGCAGGGCCGCAGAGCGCTTGCCCAGCCCTGGGGCAATATCCCAATGGGAATTAAGGGCTCCTTAGAAAAAATGCAATCTTTAGCAGATCAGACCTTCAGTGGCACCTGAGTTGGTATCTTCTTGGTTATTTTGGGTTCTCTCAATGCTACAATTTGAAACACAGTAATGCATTTTTAAAGGAAAAAAGTAGAAAAGTGACATCACATATTTGTCAAGAAACAAGTGATTATTTTACAGGCATTTCATTTATTTATTTATTTTGTCAAGCCGTATAGTTAAAAGCCAAGACTAAAATTTCTTTGGGAAACCTGTGACACAAAGTAAAAGCAACTCTCTGCTCCAAAGACCCTTTATTCAAATAAGCAAGGCAGGCAAGAGGAATGTTCTTACCCACATTTTACATATTAACTAACACAGGGAGACATCAGATTACTTTCAAGGTCACTTTAGCAGTCTAACACAGCTATAACTGTTCTCTAGAGCTTAACTGCAAGAGTATCTTTTAACCACTACTACTATACATATTTATAGGAGGTCTTTTTAGTGGCTTCTACAAGGCATCAGTTTTGACTTAACCAAAACAACACCCCAAATGCACAGCCCCAAAATCTGTCAAAACAAAAATAAAGAGAAAATAAAAACAAAGCCAAAAGAAAAAAGAGATCTCTCTAATCCTCCCCCTGACAAAGTCTGATTGTGCAATCTCACCATGTGCTCAAAAGCAACAAACTTGGAGGCTTTCCCAGGTCACCTGGGGAGAAAAGGTCTGATGACGTGAGTTTAGATTATATTTCATGAACATCCACGACATCCGGACAACGTCAGCACCAGTATCTCATTGTTCAAAATTTTCTTGATCCACATGTGAAATGAGCCCTAGGACTGGAAGAACAGCACAAGGGAGACGGTGCTCCAGGTATATAGCACCTTTCCATGAACAGACAGCTAATCCCTTGCATGATCTTTAAGGTTAATCCCACCTAAGGCAAGCCGATTTATTTCGGGAGGAAGAAGGTCTGAAGCCTCCTCAATCTTGGAATATGTGAATGGAGAGAAGCCTGGAGCTACTGCATACATAAAGAGTGTTTTCTTGGTCATAAATTTAAGGGATATTGGTATCTTGTTAATGAGCATGGAAAAAGCAACAGAGGACTAAAGCTCTCCCTGTAGCACTTAACCAGATCAGAACTAACACAGGAAATGTTGTCAACACAGCAGTGAAATACGCTTAACATTTTCTATGCTGTCTACTGCACAAGCCACCACCTCCTGAACACAACGTAGCTACTGCAACCCAGCAGAATCTACCCACCCGGAGAAGCAGGAACTGAAGAGCAGAACAGGGATTGTTGCAGTCTCAGCATCCACTTCCTGAACCCCCAAAACCCTCCTGAAACCTTCCCCTTTCCTGCTCTGATCCTTCCAAGCATGAAGGCGTCTGGCATGAGCTGGTAACAGCGCACTCGCTAAGTCTGTCCACGTGTGATCCAGCCCAAGACTTCATCACACATAAACCCGGTTTCCCAACACGCTTTGATAGACTAGCAGGCTCTTCTAATCAAAAGATCAAGAAATCAAGAATCCCCAGCTGCTTTAAACTAGCAGAGCTTAAAGTGAAGCTGTAATGATCTATGTCAGCATGGTTTTCAATACAGAGGCATTAAGAACACACATGCTACAATACGGGGTTTAAATTGCAAAAAACAGATAATGCGTGTGGAAACTTTTTGTTTGGTCACAGGATACAGAGGTCTGGCTGTCCTTGGATGCAACACAGTGACAACAATTTAGCTCAGTAACTAGATAGCAAGGGCCTACACTGATATTATACCAGTGCGCAAGCAGAGAGATGAAAACGCGGTTATCAGTCAAGCAATTTAGGAAGCACTATTTGGTGTCAGCAGAAAACAGCCCGGCTCAGGAGGGTTTTTGTGTGCATGTGAACTGAGCAGGCAGCCGCTGCCATCTCTGCACAGGACGAGCGAATCGAAGCGTGTTAGTCTCCTAAAAGCTGTTCCCAGCGTTCCGCACTCCAGTGAACCGGGACCGCGCTCCTGCAGGTGCGCCAGCCCCGCGCTGCCATCGCTGCCATCGCTGATGCTGGCCTGAGAGCACCTTCCCGGGGACAAGAAGGGGCGGCTCAGGCAGCGCTTGGAGGGAAGCGCCCAGCCCCGCTCTGCTGGGCTGGCGTTCTGCAAATGTGTCACTTCAGAGAACGGCATCTAGAGCAGCTCAGAATCAGCTGCTGCTCCTGACCTTCTGGCTAAAGCAAACACCACCACCACCCGTACCTTCATCTGAGAATTCACTTCAAACTAGTAAGGCAATAAAGACAAGTATTCTCAGTAAAGACAAGTATTACCCTTCCCGCTCTGCAGCCTGAGATATAAAATATCAGCAATTCTCAGAAAATTTTAGACAGCATTTAGCTCTTTAAATCTATAATCTCTGAACTGAAGGTGAATTGTATATCTAACATGCATTTTAATAGCGATTGTAAGTAATGCATTAAACTTTGGGGTGAGGGAGAGGAGGAGAGGAAGTGATTTAAACTCAAGTCTCTTACGTATCTTCAATCATTCATTTATTGTCAACTTTTGTCACTATTCTAGCATGATTCTTCCCCTTCCCCTTTCCTATAAGCATTAAGGCTTATTTATTTAGGTGTTGGCATCTTGCAGCATGAAAGGCGCCCTACGTTGTAGCTACAGAGAAGCCGCAAGGGGAGCCCTGGCAGCTGAAGAGCCGCTGCACGGGGAGGGCAGACACATCAGATGCAGGCAAAACAACGCACTGCTAAAACTTCCACACACATTTAATTGCACATCTCAAGAAAAATCAGCAATCTATTTTTAAATTTTAACCTCAAAATCAAGCAAACAATTATGATAAGCTGCCTGATGATACAGCAGGCAGGGAGAGGGACACAGCTGATGGAAACAGCTCTGAGATGAACAGTTTCGAGGCATTTCAGTGAAGCTGTTTCTTCATCCCCCTCTGGTCTGGCATCAGACCTGGCAGCAGGCCAAGAGCTCTCATGTATAAAACTGCATCTATCACTTCTATAAAGAAGATGCTGTGAATCTGGAGCAGCAGAGCTCAGCGCTGGTCTGCAGCTAGCGAGACTTGTGCTGGACAAGAGCTTTGCATCAGCAGAGGTTCCCAGCAGACTGTACGACCACAGGAACGGCTGATGTGACTAGAACTGTCCCATGTGTCTGACAGATGATGGGGGACTACCGAGGCCTCTGTCATGTTCGCTTCCGTCTAAACCTGATGAGGTTATATTCACTCCATTTATTTCTTTTACAGCACTAATCGAATCTTTATGTGGGTATTTGGAGGTGAATATCTACTTACTTTAGCACAACATGACTACTATTTGTTTCTATTTCTTCCTTAGTTTTCATTTACTCCACATTAACTTTTACAGAGCCTTTAGAAAAGTAAAGAACAGAGATTATCCTCTTCAGAAAGCAGAGATTAGCTCTGAATATATCTATGCTGATGTAATGCTCCGAAACTAAATACAAACTGCTACTCGAGTACCATTTAGAATGTATTTCACATCTTCACAATGCAACAAAAGATACAGAGACCGCTGTTATTGCATGGAAAAACTCGACAAGCGGTTCTGAGTAACAGATAATGTTTGGGCCAGAGACTTAACATACCATTTAAAGTAACTGAAATGCGTATCTAATTTACTGCTGCAAAATTCAAGTATGAGACAATATCCCATTTCTTCATAAAAAGTAAAATAGCAAAATAAGTCCCTGCCAAATTCAGAAGTGCTAAACATGCCAATGCTTATATTAAAAATATTAAGCTAACTGCTTTGGTGGGCAAAGCTTTTGGAATCATTTTAAGTGTAAATAAAAAAAGTCAATAGCAAACTGGACATGAATGAGCATTTGCTGTGCAAATCCTTTCTGTGGAGTACATCCCAGCTTCTGTCCTTATGGAAACAAGTACAAACACACCCAGTACAACCCACTACATATCACATTTACAGTGAGAAAAAAGCAGTTGTCAGTGAAAACAGGCTTAATTTTAAACATGAAGTTTAAACCTGGAACAATTAAGGCTGGTGATTCTTAGATCATGTCAGCTCCAGTCTATCAATAAACATAGTTACCTTTTTCCTTCACCATGGCAAACAAGTTCTTCTTGCAGTGAAAGCAGCAAGGATTAGCTGAAGCAATTCAAACACAATCTCCTTTTCCAGCAGCTTTTGGCTGAGATGAAAGTGGACGGGAGAAAGGGAGGCAGCTTATTATCCCAGAGAATTATCTCCCTCGGTGAGGCTTCCCGCAGGATCTGATCCAGCCCAACCGCTTGGCACCGGCGCCGTTTCCCTTCGCCTCGTGCCTCTGATCCTCTGGGGTGCTCTGTGCTCTCCCGGCCCCGGGAGCCCCGGCGGTGGCTGCGGAGCAGACGCGGGGCCGTGCGGTGGCCA